AAGTCCTCCATGTCCTCCCTTTCCCACTGAAGCCTTGGCCCTTTCCAAAGGGATGAACTTTGTGGCTACCAGCCTCAGTGCAGAGCCCACGTATGAGCTAACAAATACCCACTTCCCCTGCTGAAGGTATGCTGGAATTTCAAATGGGCTTCTCCACCCGGTTCAGCGTCAAACGTGACATCATTTTCCACGTGAATTTTGTAACGTGACATTTCTTTCTGGTATTTGGTCTGTGAAAAAGGAGATAGTAACGGAAAAAAAATGTTTGCTGTTGAAGGAAAACAAAGCAAGCTGTCTTCTGCAGCTATGCAATGGAAGCCATTTACCGAACGTTGACTCTTCCCCATACACACCTGAATTCTGCTGACAGCAGCAGCTCTTTATTTCTCCCTCCATCCTCATCTTTCTGCAGATATGGCCTAGCAGCAGCAGCTTGGTGTGAGCTTTGACAGTGCTTAGGGTGTCAAGTGAAAGACAAAATTACAAAATCACAGAATGGCAAGGGTTGGAAGGGACCTCGGGAGATCACCCAGCCCAACCCCCCTGCTAAAGCAGGTTCTCCTAGAGCACGTTACACAGGCCTTCATCCAGGCGGGCTTTGAATATCTCCGGAGAAGGAGACCCCCCAGCCCCCCTGGGCAGCCTGTTCCAGTGCTCTGTTGCCCTCAGAGTAAAGAAGTTTTTCCTCATCTTCAACTGAAACCTCTTGTGCTTCAGTTTGTGCCCATGGCCCCTTGTTCTGGCGCTGGGCACCACTGCAAATTCACTGAGATGCAACTGTTTCCTAATCTCATTTGGCAAGCATCGGTGAATATTCCAGATACTGTGGGACATTTTGTGCTAAAGAGTGCTGAACTCGTGAGGCTGGCGTTTAAAAAAAAGGTATAGAAGCTAAAAAAAAACTTTTTAAAAACTGTGTATTTAAATACTAAATAAATACCCACTTACTGCTAGTAGAGCCCAGAGGTCAAACTCTGTCCTCATCACTGATGGTAAAAGGGTAACAGGCATCAGCTTACCCTATCTGTATGCTCAAAAATCAGTTTTATTTGGCAGCAGAATCAATTTTTGATAGCAGCTTTTTTCGTTTGGTGTTTTATTTTTTGGTGGGTTTTCTAAAATCCTTTCAACACTTGTCACATGCAAAGGCAGGAAGCTCCGTCTGCTTCGAGAAGTATTTTAGAAAGAAATAAGCACGCGCGTGTTACACACTGCCGGGGGCAAGGAAGCTGGCTTCCAAGGCTGCAATTCTAGCTTTGCTGCTGACTCCGTGAGTGACCACCACGTAACCACGCCGCTTCCCTCTCCTCACTCTGCAAAAGATGAGCCATGTTCAGCTCCCTCGAAAGACGTTGAGAGGCAAGCGGAGCTGGGCCTTCCATATCCCAAATTTAGGTACAACGGAATTAGTCATGCCCAAATTTCAATAAAATCTACATATTTTAAGCTGCTCACCTCCTCTGTCCGTACCTAGCTTTGAATGCTCTTGATACGTTTGGGTATCCCTGCAACTATGCAGCCTGTTGGGGGTTTTATCGCTTATATACGTGTATTTACATCAGTGTGTGGTTTTCAACATTGCAAGAAAAGATTGCACTCATAAAAGAGGAAATTTCCCATTTGGATGCAAGCTGAGCAGAGCTGACTCTTGCCAACCGGTTTTAAAAATCCACCAAGTCAGTCTTAGGAAGAATGCAGGGGAGGGTCTTGAAATTTGTCTTCAGCCTGCAAACACCTTTTCCCAATTTTTGGGTGTGGAATAATTCTGTTGATCCTGAAAGAACTACAGATGTCTAAAGACTGCAAAGACATCCTCTGAGCAAGAATGCTGCCGATGCTGGCCGTTTTCCCAGCTCCGCTGATGGCCAGGGAGTTGCTGTTGTCCAGAGCTCTGTCAAATGGCAGATATAAGGACATTTAAGAAGATTCTGGTCCTATCTGAGAAGCACAGAAGCTACCGCCATGGTTTGCAATGCCGGTACCCAGACAGATGATAATCACACTGCAAAACATCATTAAGCAAAATACTCAAGAGAAGAGGCAAAGCCACAGAGATCCCACGCCCTGCAGTATCCCTGGAAGCTAGGAGAAGCACGGGACAGCACTAACAGACACCCAACATGTTGGCTAAAGTCATGGCCCTTCATTATCCTCTTCTGCATAATCAGGATATGCCAGGGTCAGAGAAAAAGCTTCCATCCCAAGGCCAAACCAGTGCTTCATGCACACAGCACATATTGGTATAGGACGTATATCCAAACGAGGTCTTGAAAAGACGGTTTGCAATACCTTACATCTGCATATTGCCCCTCTCACCATCGTTCCTACAAACAAAATGGACCTCGGTTGTACTGAAAATCAGGGCGCTGCAATGCAATAGCTTTTCGATAAATCACAAAGCTGGGACCATACTCCCTATATGCAGAAAGAGTTTAAGTGCTGAGAGCAATCAAGCAATATTCATTTATGTTTTGTCACTCGTGGGCATGCACACAGAATTTGTTCATAGCCTCCATTTTCCAAGGAAGTCAACAAAAAATGAGAAGGCTCTGCACCCACTCGGAGACAGTCACATTTCACAGAGGAACAATTTCTTTTTCTTCAGCAATTTAAGTGCCATATATATATAAATCTATGTCTCTCACAGATACATATATCTCCCTTGAACTGATGAATACAAATATTCTATACAACATATCTATTTTGTGTATATTGCGTCTATGAGTGTGTGTGCATACATATGCATATATCTAATCTGCTCTGCACCATGCATCCTGCACAGTATGAGCACGTATACGCACAAACATAAACAAACTCATCCTTGGGTTGCTGCATGCCTCGCGCAGAAGGAGCCAGAGGGAGGATGCCCAGCCTAACCCACGCCCGCGCCATCGGAAGGCGAGTTTAGGGTGCAGCCAAGCGCTTGTTTACGTAACAGCAAGGTGGTACAGCTGCAGTAAGAGGGAGACAGGAGCGAGGGCCGTTCCTGAATTTTAAAAAGGAAGAAAGGCGAGCAGCATGAAGGTATGCTCCATATTTTCTACGCCAAGGCTACTGGTGGTTCCTAGATCTGAAAATCTGGTTATAGCAGCCTGCATCACCACACAGCATTACTAACCCGCATGCGGCCCGAGCCCGTCTACTTGCGGGCAGGGATACGCAGCAGTCTGGGAAAGGGATAGCAGAAGGGGCAGTATTAATTCTGTCCAGCTTTAATTAAAGTAGTAGAATACACATTTGAATCAAACACACTGATGAAATAGGCTATGAGAAAAATCAGGAAAGCCACCACAGACGGTGAGGAAGGAGCCGAGCTGGGTGCTGGGCAAACATGAAAAGACGACAACCCTCCAGCAAGGACATCCACACATTAAATACATTTTTTAAAAGGCTGTTTTGCAGAGAATTCCACAATCAAAAATGTAATCACAAAAACTCCCTTATGCTGCAGTGTCCCACTTAGGGGATTAGGTTAGTAATCACAATCTGCCCCAAGCAGCTCTGCCCCAGCATCCAAGCCGGCATTCTCGCTCTGATAAAGAGAATTCTAATGCAACTTAATGAACTCTGCAAAGCGAGCCTTTATAAGCCAGGGAGATAATATCCAGTGGTCCCAAAGGTATCAAACACCCTCGGGAATTTTATTTAAGCCATGCAGTTCAGAAAATGAAAATCTGTAAGATTGAATATAAAATGAATTCCAAATTTCTCAGGTATGCCAAGGGAGCAGATGGCTTCCGAATCCTAGAGATCTGCCAAAAGGATCTGTAAATTCAAACATTACGTGGCTGGATTCTGCTCTTTTTCTTTTCACAGAGAGATCTGTGTTTACACGCAAGGTAGCAGAAAAGAAAAAACAGGACGGATTATGTCTCTTGATATTACCCCTTCCCGAAGGAATTTATAAAGAACGGATCAAAACATGGTGTCGGTGAATGAGTTAATGCATACCACAGCCTAGAGATTCCTGAGACGGGAGAAAAGAAATAGCAATGAGGAGGCATTAACGCCGGCACTCCCAATGTGAGAGAGTCCTAAACCTAACCTTAACGGAAGCTTCAGGGGTGTTAATATTTTCTCCACTATTGTATTTTATTTGTGTCCTTAGAAACTATATATAGAATGTTCGTGTCCTCAGAAACTAGAGAGTGATCTGGCAAATAAATCATCTCTATTGATTTTTTCTTTCCCCCCCCTCCCCGAGGCAATCAGAGATGTCATTCCTCGTTTCTAACACAGAAGGAAAATAACAGTTAATTATAAATTAGCAGAAACCCCCCCCAAATCTGAAACATCTACATAGATATGGCTTAACAGAACCAAAGATTGCCACCAGCAACAGACGCCAAAAACCCCCAACAGCTTGCAGACTGGCGTTTCAGGCCCTAGCTAGGAAAATACACCTGCAGTGTGCGGCGTAGGTACGGTGAGCGGGGGCTGCCAGCCCAGGCTGCGTTCCGGATCCCTCGCTGCACAGCCCGGCACGCCTAGCGCCACAAGACGGGTCTGGCGCACAGCGTTTAGCGGCGCTGGTGATGTGGGAACGGGAACTGGAAATGGGAAATGGGGTAGGGTGGGGGAAAAGCTGTGGTGAAAGAAGAGAGATGCACCTTCACGCCGCAAAGCACGAACGCAGCCGCCTCCCTCCCCGGCAACTTCTGCAGATCAGTCAGAGGCTTGAAACAGCCGGCTCCCCGTCGGTGAGAGGCGTCTCCCGCCCGTTTGGGGACGAAGGGAAGGCGGCAATACCCGCGTGCCGATGGCCACCCTTATTTGCCTGTTCCCTGTGGACTGCCATGGCTGGCAGCACTTTAATCTCACCGCAGCAGGGCTCAGAGAGGACAGGAAGGGATGCAAATGGGGAAAATGAGATGAAAGGTTGGGAAAATGAAGGGGAGAGCATGGCACATGGCAGTGAACACCTGTGAAGTGCAGCACAGAAAGAGGGGCGGGGGGGGGGGGGGGGGGGAGGGAGAAGGGGGCTGGTTTTCCCCTCATACCTTGCGTTTCCGATCTGCCCTAGAGATTTTCCGCTGCCTTTTCCTCTCCTTCTCAAGGTTTCTCTCCCTCTCTTCGAGTTCAGACTCTCGAACTTTTTTAATGGAAGCGGCTGCATGAGCCATTTTGGAGAGGAAAACACCAGCTCCAAGGAAGCCGTTTCCACCACAGGCGGATATCCAGGTGATTTCTTTTTTTTCCTGCAGGGGTGCTGGCTGCAAGCCAGAACTTCACAGCGTAATCCACTCTTCCTCCTCCGGCACCCCAGAAAAGGTCACAGCTCCGCTCCAGCCTCCGCAGCACCCATAACTCAGAAGCACGAGGGCCACGTCCACACAACGCGATGTGCGAAAGCGCTCGCAAGCCGCGCACACGCAACCGGCGAGCAGCCGGCGGATATTCTGCTAGCAGGCTGAAACCCCTTCAGCTTGGCTGGGGCTGCAAGCGAAGACGAGCTGCAGACTTAGCTGAGGAGTGAAGGGGAAAAAAAAAAAAGGGGGGGGGGAAAAAATGGAAAAAAAAGGAAAAAAATCAGCCTTTAAGCACACATCACCAAATTGGAAAGGTCTTTTGGGATTCCTCCAGATAGGCTGCGTCTTCTGACTGGGAGGAAGGCTCCACTTCAGCATCACCGCCAGGTGGGGGAGGGGGCCGCTCCCTTCAGCTTCTCACATCGCCTTTATGCAGGGTGAGAAGAAAATGGTGCAGTCTGACTTACTGGCTTGCTGCTGCCACCGCGGCCGTCTGTGCTGGTGGGTGCCCAGCGTACGCTCTCCTGCTCTTCCCCCCCCGCCGATCTTCCCTGACGGCTGCGGCGGTCGATGGGGAAGCAGGAGGGAAGGCTGGCGGGCTGGGGGAGGCCAGCCTCAGCCTGCTCACCTGCAGGCAGCACGGAGAGCCTGCGATATTCAAGTCCTCATTGTGCCTTTATGCAGCCACGTGAGGCTGCATCAGGAGAGCTGCATTAAGCAGCGAACCAAACGCAGCGAGGAGGGGGACGCAGCTCGGGGAAGCACGCAGCGTCATCCGGGCTCAGCCTGCCCCGCTCAGCTCAACCCCGCGGAGGGAAAAAAATAACACCGCCGAGCGCGCTGTGCGTTAATATTCAATGCCAAAAGCTGCTTTCAGGCGCTTCCTAAGACAACTTATGAAACCCTGTGTTGAAGCCGGGTAATGATTATAGCTGTGGACCAACAGAGACCAAAAGAGGCACAAGCATGTTGTTAATTAGCCTCCCCCTTCTCCCCCCCAATATCATTTGGGTTTGGAACATTAATTTATAGTGTTAATATCAGAGCCAGATGGGTCTATCATTCCCCCACTGCTTATTCCCCTGCTAAAACCAGCGTCTCAAAAGCTCTGCTCCCACCTCCCTGGGTAACTGTTATCGCTATTAGCGTCAAGCATTTATTCATCAAAATAAGACAGGCGTAGATAAAAAGGGCCTTTGCATTAGTCCCCGGCAGACAGCTGATCCCACTGCAACTCCCTTCAACACCGCTGATGGTGCCTCTTCCAGCCGGGTCCTGAAGGAGAGGGCGACTGCAACGTTCCGCCGCAGCAGAGATGTTTGCATCCCTGCCGTAGCCACCCCAGAGAAGCTGGGATATGGGAGCTCACTGACAGCAGCACTAAAAATCACCCAAAGAAACAATCCCCTTCGCCAGCTTTCCCTCTGCAATATATTCCTTGACTTCAGGCTGAATTTGACTGAACGGCCACTAAACCTGAGCACTGTGAATTTTGCCATAACAGGGCACCACCAAAGCAGGAACAGTTGTCCTGCGAGCTCTCCGTGGGACAGCAGCTCATAGACCAGGCCTAATCCCCACCTCACGTTATTTTTTGTACCCACAGAACTCGGTTGTTTCCAGTTCACACAGACCAAGCCCATTTATTCTTATCATGGAACGAATAATTATTGATGGCTCGTGGGTTTCCTACAAGGTTTCACTTTGAGAATTTCACAAATTTCAAAGACCAAATTTTCACAAAGCAATTCTGTATGGAAACTACGAAGGGCTATAAAGGCATCTTTAAAAAAGGCGCCTGTTTTGCATTTGAGACAGCGATCCCTGCATTCAGTCAAAAACGTCCTTCTCTACTGGAAGACCACCTCAGAAGCAGCAGGGTACAGTACCAGCCAACCTTTTTTCTGGCTCCTCTGTACGTACGGGCTGATTTTCCCACAGTTGTTCCCATTTGCAAGAAAGTAGGCTACAGAAAAATAAGGGTTAAAAAACAAGCAGTAGCTGTAGCAACAGCCAGCAGCAAAGCGAGACAGGTGGAGGCAGCCAAAGGGATAAAATGAAGGAGAACACTGGATTCTTTAATAGGAATGTAGCTTGCCTTGCCTTCTTAGCCTTGCATGATCCTCACAGGTAGCATCACTTGTAAACCAGAAATGAACAGCTGGGTCATCTAGAGCTCTACCTTCCTGATACAGCGGGAAAGCAGTCGTCTTCCCAACCTCTTCGTGGGGTCTTAAGCATGAAATTCAAAGATGGTAAGACCAAATCACAGGCCACCACACTTAAAAACCCAGGTCTTACAACTTCCCTAAATCACGGTTCAAAGTTTCCTGAAGCCACTAAATGCTTAAATCCTGGTATGTGGTGCACACGATAGGGTTTGGTACAGAGGAGGCTTTACAGAAGTCATGATTATTAAACAATTTGTCATCTTTTGATGATTGGTATGTGCAGGCTCATCAGCTCAGGCTCAAATAATTATTCTTTCAGAAAACTCACTTAAAAGTCAATAAAGGACTTGATGTACTTGGTAGCCCATGCTACACAAGAGCAAAAAACCAGACGCTTAAATTGAACTGGTGCCAAGCAAGACAGACTGAAATAGCCAATATTCTTTAGAAGATCACTGGCAAAAAAGAACTCGGGATCAGTTCTAGGAGTTCACCGTTATATCCCATAAACATTTTCCCCTAACCTCAGAGAGACATCATAAAAATATTTCACCATCATGCGGCAAAAAAAAAAAAAAAAAGTAACTTTACATAGGTTATTTTGGAAAGAACATAGCCAATCTGGGGAGAAGGATATAAAGTATGCATCACTTAATACTTGACACAGCTAATGTCCCTGCAGGAAAGACGTGTTCTGTTTTAAGACAGATTTTCCTAGCAAAAGTAGAAAATGGCTAGTCATTGCCCTGCGTATACCGATCTTAAAAAGAAAGCCTTCTGCAGACATCAGCCTGAAGAGTAAATTTTTGAGATCTGTTCAGTAAAAATGGAGACTGAGCAATCTCCCCCTAAACATAGAAAAGGCATTGTGAAGCTGCTAGATAAGAAAAACAGAACATACAGCGATGCTGCCACAAACGGTATGTGGGAGGGGAGTGGGAGAGTGGGCAGATGCACAGTAACATAAAAAGAACGCAGTACCAGAAAAAGGGTAGTTTTTTTCTCTTGAAAAGCATTTGTCATCATTAGCTCTGAATGTAGAAATACATAACTCGTGAGATTTGACAAATTCCCATTTGGGATAACAAAGCTTGTAAGACTTCAACCTGTACGGTGTCCTGCGTGATTTGTGAACAGGCTGCGGGTGCCCAACCTCACCGTGAGATCCACAGGCGCGTGGGTGCTTAATTAGGGTTACAGCTCCTACTTGCCTGGTTTACTAATTGGCACAGATCATTAGCTTCCTGACCTGATCTCCTAATTTCACAGTCTCCGGGTTTCGTTCTTTTAAGCTGACCCACCAGCCGAGACAAGAAGCTTCTGCACTGCGGTGCTTTATTAGCCACAGCTCTGATCAGTGCTTGGGTTTAACTGCCAGCTTTCAGGTAGAGAGATTTGCTGAGCAAATCAGCGTTTTCTGCCTATAGACACCTACTGGATGAAAATCAACAGTAAGCGAGAACAAGCGGAGAGGATACAAACAAGCAATTATCCTTCCTTGAAGCATAACCAGTACCGGGGGTCCGTCTCATAAAGCTGAGGTTCTCTCCACATAAATCACGTGGGCAGTGCAAAAAAAAGTTAAACCCAAGCCTCAAGCCTAGAAATAGTGCCCAAAAAGCGTGACTCAAATCTGCTCTCATCATTTCCCAGAGTTACAAAGGAAAGGGAGGCAGTGATGGAAGGGGAAAAGCTCTGCATGCCTCCAGCTGCAATGGAGACTGTTCTTTCCAGTTGTAAGCTGCGAGCACATTCAGGAAATAGGCTGGAAATCAAATTTGGTTTCAAACAGCTAAAAATGGGGAAGGACTCTCCCAGGCAATAGTTTGGTAGGGACGAAAGCTGGGCAATCCAATTTCTTGTGCAGCATTATGGAAGACCGTTCTGGACAAGGCAGACTGCAACTCTGTAGTGCAATGAGGCGATGCACTGCCTAGCTTACGCGCGGTATCTAACAAGTACACCCATGTGTTATTTTGCAACCACACAACCACCGCCACCTCTGTCCTTACAATTAAACTTCTCCTCCTGGCTGAAAGGCAGGACACGTTAGACCAGGCTTGGAGACATGCAGGCAGAGCCATTAGCGGGCTAGAAACCAGAGGGCACTGACTTGCAGAATCAGCCACCGCTCCCCACCAGCGCAGAGGGCGTTATTCTAGCCAGGTTAAATGGCAGAGGTAGGCATCCCTGTCCCGCCGGTCGGGAAACTCTTCTCTGAACACTGCCTCCTGAGGGATGAGGATGGAGATGAGGGAATGGGTTTGACAGGGACAAAAATATTTGGAGTGCCAGAGCAGCATAACAGTGTACTTAATTCAACTATTAAAAATTATTTGGGTGGATTGGGTGTATTAGCATATTCAGCCGTTTCAATATCTACAGAATTACATATTCCTAGAAAAAAAGGCAAAATGATTCTTGTGGAAAGTAAAAGCACAAAGCTAACTATGGAAGTATACGCCGCAATTATAAATTGCCTCCTGTCTCACTTCTTGTTTAATTCACACTCATTTATTACTCACAAACAGTAGCATTTGTCCTAATTCCAAAGGTACAACACCCCTGGAAGTGAGTTAGCAATCAGCTATCCATATGGTATAGGTTTCGTTTCCTGAAAGAAAAAATACTAAGGTTAAAAAAAAGGCTCTGCACTCTCTCATTCTCATGTTACTGAACATGTGAAGACAGCAAGTTCCAGAA